GGCAGGCTGAAAGCTGGTTTCTAGGGTTTTGTTTAGCTTCTTATTTGCAACATAGTACATTGTTGCTTAGAGTTGCAACTCAGAGGCCGGCAACGTTGGAGTCTGCAGTCACTGAAGCAAGGAAGCCTCATGTTCGCTTCCAGCTGCCTGGCTGCTGGCCGCCATCTTGGCTGACAGTTAATTTGCATAAGGATATGCTGATTAGCCAATGGGAAGGGTAGCGGTCGTACGCCAATTACCATGTTTCTCTTTTATTAGTGTAGATAGGATTCTGGTGTGAAGAACTTATACCCTGAGTAGAATGATCTTTGTGGTGTACATCACTGTCAGTATCTGTGAAGGATGGGAGACTGGCAGGCTAGCAGTGACCCTGTCACAGTTTTCTAGATGAGGCAGCAGACAGGGACTCTGGTCAGAGAGAAAGGGCCTGTTATGCATGGTACAGCAGGCTTTATGTGCATCTGTTACCCTGTGCCCCAGGTTTTCAGGACCCTAGTACATGCTGCACACAGTGTGGGTTTGTGTTACAGCAAGGAACCCTCCAAATTTATAAGGGGTCTGCTAGCAAACCTTCCTAACCCTTATCTCCAAGAGGACAGTATCCTGTTACCCAGGTCGACCAGAAGGGAGACACCATCTACAGCTGTGAGAAAGATAGTCTGGGATAGACCCTGACACCAGATGTGGAGAAATACCATGGAGAATTGCCTCTCAATAATGTCCACCTCTTGTTTCTATATCATCTTGGCCTTGATGAATATTCCCATTTCACTCCATCAGCCACTCTGGTTAATTTGACTGGGACCAGATCTGTGCAGTTTGTATAACAGTATCAAGGCTGCCATCAGTAGGATTCTGAACAGCAGGATGAAGCCAGCCTGCAACATGGACCTCAGCCAGGCTGAGGGTCCTCACTGGACAACAGTATAAACCATGAGTTTCTGTTCCATTCATTTGGTCACAAAGTATTCTCTGAGTTAGGATTATGAACAAAATACCTGTCCTCTGGGAGCTTACAGTCAAATAAGTGGTCATTCTGCCTCATACAGGTATAGTGAGTGTGCCAGGTCTACACAGCCTCATGGGGGGTGGGGGTGGGGTGTGGACAGGGAGAGGTAAGGGCTGGGTGCACCAGGGTCTCCCACTCTAGAGAGATTGCGGTGGCAGTGCAGGATGCTTTGGGGTGGCAAATGCCAAAGGCAGGAGACCCATTAGACTGTTGCCATAGTCCTGATCATGTCTGCAGCCCTGTGTTAACTGCCTTTGTATTTGATGATATGTTGCCTTTTCTCAGATCACTGTTTCTTTATAATTAGGAATCAATTCCACACAAGTTCTTTAGGTGTAGGTTCTACCTTTTTTTGTTGTCAGGCCTTGTGTTGCTTGATGTGGTGTCTGTACAATTACACTGAAGAGTCTGGGTCTTTAGAATGTAGCTCAATGAGGAAATCCATAGATTTCCACTGGGTTCTAAGCTCCGGGAGCCTGGGACTTATGTCAGTGTCGTTTCTCTTGTCCTTGCAGCCCAGTGTGGTATGGTGGCTAAAACTTGTTGACCAGATGCAGAGAATCCCTTTGGCCCCTAGCCAGACCGAGAAAGCCACACTTGTCAGCATTTTAAGAGATAATATTAGTGATTTGTTCTCATTTTTATAAGTGAAATTGTATTATCATTGAAGAGTGTGTATGTGAGAGACAGAGAAGTGGAAGATGTGCAGTATTGCAGGTGGACCTCTACTTGGAAGAGCCTTAGAAGGCCTAGCTCTAGCCACGTCAATGTCATTTCCTTGTGGTTTGACCTTGTACAGCAAGCAGGTAAAACTCAAAGGCTAACACAGGCCAAATAAACAAGGTTTAAGTTTATGTGGGCTGCAAAAAAACAAAAGCTTCAATTTTCATAGAAACGTAGGTTTATTTCGATAGAGACATGCTGAATACAAAGGGCTGAAATAAATGAGTAACCGTTAACATAAAATAATAGAATGTTTTAATAAAAATTAATTTTTTTAACATTAACTTACCAGACATTGAATAACTGCAGAAATTAATAAGCGTAACGCAAATAAACCCATTTTTCTTGTTTTCTGAAAGCGAAATATTTCCTTTTGCACACACCAAACAAGTCAGTCCAAGACTAATGACATGGCAGTGGGCTGCTAAAATATTCGCTGCTAGTATTAGTGGAGAGAAATGGTGCACAGGCATGACGTAAGGGAAATGAATGCAACATGATTATAGTAATCCAGGGGTCCTCAAACTACGGCCCGCGGGCCACATACAAATACAAATATTGTATTTGTTCCCGTTTTGTTTTTTTACTTCAAAATAAGATATGTGCAGTGTGCATAGGAATTTGTTCATAGTTCTTTTTTAAACTATAGTCCGGCCCTCCAACGGTCTGAGGGACAGTAAACTGGCCCCCTGTTTAAAAAGTTTGAGGACCCCTGTAGTAATCAGTCATTAGCGAATGTTGTAGTTTGTTATTAATTATGTATAACAGGATATTGTAAAAATTAAGTTACGAAATTTTTATTAAAATGTTTCTTACATACCGTTATATGGGTTGGGCCGCAAAAATATTCGTTGTGGCCCATGGGCTGCAAGTTTGACATGCTTGTACAGGGTCCTCATCCTTTCATGGCCTTGTATTCTTCATCTGTATGACAGGGTTAGGCTAAATGCTCTATAAGGGTTGTTTCAAATCCATCATGACTTTTCAAACTGCATTGATAAATGCTAATTATAGATAAAATTATCCTATATAATAAAAGCCTAATATGCAAATTGCCACCTTGACCAGGAGTTCGACCGCTCCCTATGATGTACACTGACCAATAGGGAGCGGCGCGAAACATGGCGGGCGTTGGCAACTCGGCGCTGGCAGCAGGTGGCAGTGGAGGCACTGCCGGCCCCAATGGGCCCTGATGAGAGCAGGACCGTGGTGGGATGGTGGAGCAGGTGAGCAGGCGGTGCCAGGCCAAGGTGGGTGTAAGTGGGGCCTGATCGCCCCGCCAATTGCCCTGTGGACAATGACCAGCAGCGATGGTCGGGGGCCTGATGATTCAGGCAGAGGGGGGGGGGTGTGGGGGCCCGGGGGCCCAGGTGCTGCCCAGGGCCCAGAGGTCAGCTGGGACCTGCCTTTCCGTGTCAGACACTTGCGCTTCAATTGCTGGCCATGCCTAGGGACCGCACCCATGCACGAATTTAGTGCACCAGGCCTCTAGTAAAACTATAAATATACACATATCACTCCATAATTGTATGGAACTCTATAAAAACTATTTGGAATTACAAGAGTGGAGAAGTTTGTCGGATTATTTTCTCTGTGATCGCTTTTTGGCTAAGATCAAGTGTAGTATCTGTTCTTATCAGTTTAATATTTTTCTCTATGAAATTAAGTTTATAAAAATTTCAAATGGAGACTCTTTGTTAGCTTAGAAACTTGTAAAGAATGTGTAGTGATAGGGGTCATTACACCTCTTGGCGTAGTGGTTTCCAGCAGTTTTCTTCCTTCAGTTACATCCAGCTGTGGACTCTGGTCTGAGTGAGGGGTGCTCTGGTGGGCATAGAGCCCGGGGACCCTGGGGCTTTGGGAAGAGCACAAGTCTGAGACGTGGCCATGTCCTCTCTGCTAAGTAGGACAAAGACTTCGTCTTGCCTATCACATGTGGGTGAGAGCTCTTGCTAGGCAAGGACCCTGCTATGTGCTGGTGTCTTAGGTTTGTTCTGAATCCAAACCGTTCCCTCGCCGTTGATGTCCTAGTGTCTCTAGGTCAAGTGTGATGATACATTTTAGCCTGACATACCCACTAATTTGTCCCTTTTCCTTCAGAACTGGGTGGTCTTGACCTTGGTGGAGACTGACCCAGGAACCAGATGAGCAGAGACTTCTGCGTCCACACCTGGCCATGCTCCTATTATTTGGAACTTGAGAAGCGATGGGTTCCTGGAAAACTTTGGTTAACTTCACTCTCACTGAAATTTCTGACTGATAAAACTGGAGACTTTCTTGTCAGCTTTCCTCTTGCTGATATAATTGAGATCAAGAAAGAAGCTTCTCATTTTATCTTCAGTTCTGTCACCATCCTGGAAAAGGGCCATGTCAAGCACTGGTTCAGTTCCTTGCAGCCTAATCGGAATGTCGTTTTCCATATCATTGAACACTTCTGGAGAGAGTTGCTGCTATCTCAACCAGGAGGTGCTGTGGAGGCGTCATCCTCCCGCATGACCAAGGGGAAGGAGCTGACTGGTCTAATGTCCTGTTCCCAGAAGCGTCTAGAAGATGCAGCCAGAGTCCTACACTACCAGGGTGAGCAGCTGGACAGCATAACGAGCAGCCTGGACAATATGGAGTCTGACCTGGATGTGGCTGACAGGTAGAGAAAAGTACTGCAGCCTTAAGCTGCTCTTTTGGTGTCTTCCATATCCCATATTTAATACACATTCAGAAAACATGGGTTATACCTGCTGTGGACAGTTATACTGGGCTGGATGCTCTGGGCATACAGACAGTAAGGGCACTGTTGCCAGATTTAGTGTAAGTCTTTAATGACAATCACCTTATTTAGTCACCAGACAAGCAAAGAAGAGCATGGGGAAACTTGAGTCTGAGAGGCCAAGGAATTTGTTTGAGATCACATACACTAAGTTTGTTAGCATAGTTTATTTTTTTAGTAGTTAATTTTTTTTTATATATCTGTGGAGCAGCCAGGTTTCAAGGGAAACATTTTGGCTCCAGAAGTTACCACCTGAGCTGCTGGACCAGCAACTCTCAAAGCTTGGGTCTTGGGGCACTTCTACTCTCTTAAAAATTGAGGCTCCAAAGAGCTTTTATGGGTTATGTTATATTGACCATGTTTTCTAAAACTAAAAAATTAAAAATACTATCATTTAAAGAGTAAAATAATAAACTCATGACTTAGTAATGTAAGTGACATTTAAAAAATAACACCTTTATATTATTATATTATTACCAGAGGCCCGGTGCACGAAATTTGTTCACGGGTAGGGTCCCTAGTCCTGGCCGGCGATCAGGGCCGATCTGTGGGGTGACCAGTGGAGTGATTGGGGGCCCCCGCTGGCACCCGCCTTGGCCAGCCTGGTGCCGCCCATTTGCCAGCCCTGCCCCCCGCCACTGCTGCTGGTCACTTCCAGGGAGGCGACCGGCGGGGCAATTGGGGGGCACCCCCGCTGGCACCTGCCTTGGCTGGCCTGGGGCCTGTGGGCTGGGGGTAGCTCCTGCGTTGAGTGTCTGTCCCCGGGTGGTCAGTGCCTGTCATGGCGACTGATAGTTCCACCTTTCGGTTGATTTGCAAAATGGCCCCTTGGGTGGTCATTTGACCGGGAGTTCAACTGGGAGACTGGGAGTTCGACCTCTTGCTATGACGTGCGCTGACCACCAGGGGGCGGTGTGGAACATGGCAGGCATCGGCGACGTGGTGCTGACAGTGGGCAGCAGTGGAGGTACTGCCAGCCCCGATGGGCCCCAATGAGACCGAGACCGCGGCGGGATGGTGGAGCAGGTGACTGGACGGGTGGCGCCAGGCCAAGGCGGGTGTGAGCGGGGGCCCAATGGCTCTACTGATTGTCCCGCAGATGGTGACCAGCGGCGGTGGTGGGAGTGGGGCTGCCACCTGGCTCCCTGGTGCTGAGGGAACTGGGTGGGGGGCCTGGCCCTGATCAGTCATCCCGCAGGTGGGATGGTGGAGCAGGTGAGGGGGCAGTGCCAGGCCAAGGCGGGAAGCCAGGCAGAGCTGCAAGACTGGGGGTGCAAGCTGTGGCTGTGAGGCTGGGGGTGCGAGCTGGGGCCCGATCTCCACAGGCCACCCCAAGTGACCCCACCCATGCACGAATTTGTGCACCAGGCCTCTAGTCCTGTGGTCGGCAAACTGCGGCTCATGAGCCACATGCGGCTCTTTGGCCCCTTGAGTGTGGCTCTTCCTAAGCCTTAGGAGTACCCTAATTAAGTTAATAACAATGTACCTACCTATATAGTTTAAGTTTAAAAAATTTGGCTCTCAAAAGAAATTTCAATCGTTGTACTGTTGATATTTGGCTCTGTTGACTAATGAGTTTGCTGACCACTGCTCTAGTCTATATATATAAAAACCTAAAAGACCAAATGACCAAACAACTGGTCGATCAGTCGCTATGATGTGCAATGACCATCAGGGGGCAGACGCTCATCGCAGGAGCTGCCCCTGGTGGTCAGTGCGTTCCCACAGCGGGAGTGCCGCTCAACTGACCATTGGGTGCCAGATGCTGGGCTCACAGTTGGCAAGTGCTGTGGCGGCGCGAACCTCTCCTGCCTCCGCAGAAGTGCTACCGAGCGACAGCAGCAGGCACCTGGCCTGGGCTTGGGCTCCTCCCCAGCCGCCTGCTGCTACCGGTACTACTACATCCCCCAAGGGGTTCCGGATTGCAAGAGGGTGCAGGCCAGGCTGAGGGACCCCACTGATGCATGAATCCATGCACCAGGCCTCTAGTATTACATAATAACCTGTTCAGTGAAGAATAGCACTGTTTGAGACATTGCACCTCTGTAAAGTGAGGCTTAGCAGAAGACATTGGGTTCCCATGCCTGCTGCTGCAGTGAGTGCTCAGTGCCCTTATAAAACCCCTGCCTGCACTGAGATACTAAGATGGGCTTTGGTATGAGAGTCCCCCATCTTCTCAGGTGACCAGCACTTTAATAAACCTCTCTTTTCACTAGTACCTGCCTCACAAGTTTGGCTTTTGTGGTGACAGGCAGTTGAACCTTGGATTTAGTTTTTCTTTCTCTATTTTTATTGTATTTTTTATTGTTGATAGTATTATAGATATCTCCCCTTTTTACCCCTTTTACCCTAATCCTCCCAGCCTCTACCAACCCCCCATGTCTTTACTACCCAATTACCTGTGTCCATACTATGCCTATCTATAATAATAAAAACATAATATGCTAATTAGACAGGACAGCCGAATGACCTTCTGGATGTCCTTCCGGATGACCTTCTGGAACCACCAGTGGGCTGTGGCAGGGCCAGCGAGCCTGCACCACCAGGCCAGCCATGGCGGTCCTGGCAGCCCCCACCTCCCACCCCCTTCCGCAGAGGCCACGGAAGAGGCCATGGTGCAGCCCAGTCCCTGCGTCACCCCTTCCGGAGAGGTGGCGGGAGAGGCGGCGCCAGCACTGGGCCTGCACCTCCACCCATCCCGGCACCACTCCTTCCGCAGAGGTGACTGGAGAGGCTGTGGTGCAGGCCTGGTCCCGGTGCCACACCTTCCGCAGAGGCGGGGGGGATGGGGCAGCACAGTTCCCAGAGCCTCCGCAGAGGCGGGACAGGGTGGGACCACGGCGCCTCAACCTCCCACGGCCCCTCCCCTGGCCAGGCCGGCCCCAGATCACTCCCCCTCACCAGTGGGCGGGGGGCAGGGTCAGCACTAAGGAGCAGTGAGCCTGGCTTCTGGTTGAGTGGCACTCTGCCCCCAGCCCCCTCTCAGCCAGAAGCCGGGCTCACTGCTAGCGAGTGTGGCGGAGGTAGAGTGAGCCTCTCCCACCTCCGCAGCAGGCGGGTGGTAAGGAGGGAGGGGTCGTGGACTGCAAGAGCCCCAGACTGCAAGAGGGATGTCTGAGTGCCAGCTTAGGCCCGATCCCCGGGAAGTCCTGGACTGTGAGAGGGTACAGGCCAGGCTGAGGGAACAGCCCTCTTCTGTGCACAAATTTTGTGCACCCGGCCTCTAGTCTCTATATATAAAAGCCTAAGCGACCGTTACAACCAGCCGGTAGCTATGACACCCACTGACCACCTGGGGGCAGACACTCAATGCAGGAGCTGCCCCCTGGTGGTTAGTGCGCTCCCACTGCCAACCTCCCTTGTTCAGCCAGCCTCCTGTGGTCCCTTCCCCTGGCCGGCCAGGTGGTCTGTGCGCTCCCACAGCCTACCTCCCATGGCCAGCCAACCTCCCGCAATCCCTCCCTCTCCCCGGCCGGCTGGCCCCGATTGGGACTGGGCAAGATGGCCCCGATTGCCGGCCAGGCCGAGGGACCCCACCCATGCATGAATTCGTGCACCAGGCCTCTAATAAGTAGATAAGTTCTTTGGTTTATCTCTTCTCGTCCCCTGAATCCCACATCGAGGTGTGTCAGTCTGTTCAATGACTCCCTGCTTTGGGTTGTATTTTGTTGATCAATTCATTCTGCTCATTAGATTCCATAAATAAGTGAGATCATATTATATTTGTCTTTCTCAGATTGGCTTATTTTACTTAGCATAATATTTTCCAGGTCTATCCATGCTGTTCCAAAGGGTAAGAGATCCCTCTTTTTTACAGTTGCATAGTATTGATTGTGTAAATGTTCCACAGCTTTTTTATCCATTCATCTACTGATGGGCACTTGGGCTCTTTCCAAATCTTAGCTTTTGTAAATAACGTTGCTGTGACATAGGGGTGCATATATTCTTTCTGATTGGTGTTTTGGGGTTTTTAGGATATATTCCCAGAAGTGGGATTGCTGGCTCAAAGGGAAGTTCCGTTTACAATCTTTTGAGGAAACTCCATACTGTTTTCCATAGTGGCTGCACCAGTCTGCATTCCTACCAGCAGTGAACTAATGTTCCCTTTTCTCCACATCCTCACCATCATTTGTTGTTTGTTGATTTTTTTATGATAGCCATTCTAACATGTGTGAGGTGATATCTCATATGGTTTTAATTTGCATTTCTCTGATAATTAGTGACTTTGAGCATTTTTTCATATGTTTCTTGGCCATTTGTATGTCCTCTTTGGAGAAATGTCTATTCAGGTCTTCTGCCCATTTTTTAATTGGATTGTTTGTCTTCCTTTTGTTAAATTGTATGAGTTCCTTATAACCCCTAATTGGATGCATCACTGGCAAATATGTCCTCCCATACAGTAAATTCTCTTGTCATTCTGATAGTGGTTTCTTTTGCTGTGCACATGCTTTTTATTTTGATGCAGTCCCATTTGTTTATTTTCTCCTTAGTTTCCTTTGCCCTAAGAGATATATCCGTAAACATATTGCTATATGAGATGTTTGAGATTTTACTGCCTGTGTTCTCTAAGTTTTTTATGGTTTCATGCCTTACAGTTAAGTCTTTTATCCATCTTGAGTTCGTTCATATGTAGGGTGTAAGTTGGTGGTCTAGTTTCATCTTTTTGCATGTGTTTGTCCAGTTTTCCCAGCACCATTTGTTGAAGAGACTGTCTTGATTCCATTGTATGTTCTTGCCTCCTTTGTCAAATATTAATTGACCATAATGGGGTGGGTCAATTTCTCGGGTCTCTGTTCTGATTCATTGGTCTGTATGCCTGTTCTTGTGCCAGTTCCAGGCTGTTTTGGTTATAATGGCTTTGTAGTATAGTTTGATATCTG